AACCTGCCCCTACCTTGTGGATGCTCACAACCTACCCACAACCTCCCCTCTGGCCACCCGTGTAGTCCTCAGGGCACGGTACGAAACACTGCTCTTATGCTACTCCTATCAATAATGATGAAATAATCACGAAAGTAAGGATGAGCGAAACACAGCAGCCATTCATGATATGTGGCTCAGCCGAAGATGTGATACCAAACTCTGAACCACATCCTCGTGACGAGTAACAAATTGAGCCTCGGCCCGAAATTGACGGTCCTTACCTCTGGGCCCCTATTATTGTTACTGTACAGCTTAGTAGTATTGCTTGTGCTCGAGGAGGCCACAGACTCCTTTGTGGAAAGAAGAGTGTACCGGGTAGAGAAGATATGCATGAAGTGTAGTCCGGTTTGTACAAGGATCACACATCATTTCTGCATGTGTGGCAATGCATGTAGAAAAGACTGGAATCCGGTAGAAAGACGGAGGGGGGGGTGTTGTTCCGAAGTCCAAAGGGCCGCCGGTAGCTATTGTTGTCTGTATTTGTAGCGCCTAGCGTTAGGTACCCATTTCCAAGCGCCAGCTTCGGAGCGATGTTGTTGTCCCCGCCGCGCACGGTCGCACGTGTAGCCCAGCAGGCTTGCTGTTTTGGGTGCTTGTCTTGGCTGCAGGGTTTCTTGTTGGCAAAAGTTGCCTGTTTGGTTACCGGCGGACTCTTGTACGAGTCCGAAGAGTTCCCAGGGTGTACTCATACTCATAGTCGTGCATGCCGTAGTCGTTACACCATTGACCTCGCATCCCTACAAAGCCGGGACGGAGCACGCCGGGTTCTCACCGGACCAGGCTCTCACATCACCAAGCGCGAAGCGCCGTGAGATATTCGGCGAGTCGCATGAAGGGTGCGCTGCATCCTGCTCAGGGTGTTCGCAATCTTGTGCTTACTTGCTTGCGTACGGATGACAGCTGCGTATGACTTAATTTATTTGCTGGTGATTTCACCTACAGAAACAGTTGTATGCACTGTGTAACTGCCTCGAGGGTGCTTGACCATTTTAACACAACGTGGTGCGATCATCCCCCTTGCGCGGAGTGAGGGTTCTCCACCCCGCACAACATGATCTACTCGACCACCATTATGGTTACCGCCCCAAAAAAAACAGCGGTGACAAAACGAACGGTAACCTGGTTGCCGAGTTCACGAAGTGAATGGGCTTGTTTTACAACGTCGTTGCTACGCGACGAAGACCCAACACCGATGGTAAACACCGGGAGGGAGGAGTTCCCAGGGGGGGGAAATCTTTGGAAGATGTGGTTATTTGGTCGGTGAGATTGGAAGGAAAACAGAGTGGCAGGAATGGGGGCTGCACGGAGGCTGAACCATCCAAGCAACGACATACCGACGGAAACACAGTTGAAGTTATGTCCCAAGGTATGAACCAATCATCGTATAACTAGACCCCTCTACAAAGATCCAGTTGAACTTATAAACCACAAGTGGCAACAAATCGAATGAAAATACTCGGGTATATATCCGACTCACGTCGCCTCGTGTGTAAACAACGTACTCAGACTTAGGGTGACCAATCATACGCTATGCAACATCTAGTCGCCAAATACTTCTAGCGACGTATTTACGTACTTACGTACTTACGTACGTGATACTGTGATACTGTACTCAGAAGGAAAGCTGCTGAATATACGTATGTCAAGAACAAAAAAATAAAGTCCGTCAGAATGAAAATTCTTTTGGAAAATGACAGGACAATAACACTAGATAGAACGGGTAATCGAAGAGACTCATCCTTTTAAACTCACTCTGCTCTTCCAGCAGTATATCAAACGCAGACAGCACGCCTGCATTACTGCGTGTCTTGATACGAAGGTTTAGCGACATTGTCACTATCGGTTTACCTAGGCTTGTTATGTGCGATGCCTTATTTATTTCCCAACATTCTCGTCCTTGTATGTAAGCAAGGCGATAGCCATACTCGCAATCAACCCCGTGACCACTCGCTGCATGGAAGGCTGCTATGTACCAGCCCCCGTTGCCGTTACCGGTATGCTCCCACCCGGCAACAACGGCCTACACGTGCCACCAGCACACAAAACGAAATTGCTCTCTACTGATCTACCTTATCATCAACGTTCAGAACTCCTCTACCGCAAGAGGCAAAGGGATGGCATCGATCGCGGAGATGGCACCAGGGTGCGTGCATGCAACACCGCCGTAGCACCAGTTGGGGCCGCTGTGTGCTTTTGATTGGGCATCGCACCGGTCAGAGAGATCGCAACGGGTTGCCTTGTACAAGCTAGACGAAAATGTGATCAAATTGAATTTTCGCACCGGGGGGGGAGAGATGACACCAGTCGGAGAGATCGCACAGGGGGGGGGGGGGNTCACCGGACCAGGCTCTCACATCACCAAGCGCGAAGCGCCGTGCGGTATTCGGCTAGTCGCGTGAAGGGTGCGCTGCGTCCTGCTAAGGGTGTTCGGCATCTTGGGCTTACTTCCTTGCGTACGGATGACAGCTGCGTATGACTTAATTTATTTTCCGGTGCTTTCACTTCCAGAGACAGTTGTATGCACTGTGTATCTGTCTCGAGGGTGCTTGACCATTTTAACACAACGTGGTGCGATCAACCCCTTTGCGCGGAGTGAGGGTTCTCGACCCCGCACAACATGATCTACTCGACCACCATCATAATAACCGCAAAAAAAGAGAAACCGAGGCACAAAAAGAGCGGTAACCTGGTTGCCGAGCTCACGAAGTGATCGGCTTGTTTTACAACGTCGTTGCCAAGCGACGAAGACCCAACCCCGATGGCAAACACCTAGGGGGGAAAAGAGATCGCACAGAGGTGCGCGAAAATATCGCCACCATCAAGGAAAAAGGCGTCAGGAAAACGATCGCCCCGGGTGCCATCTCTCCGCCTCTTTCGCTACATAGCTGGTCAGTATGACTGACGAGTAGCACTCGACAAATGCACGGGGACAATAATTGAACGACCCTCCGCTGTCCTCTAACACCTCATGGGCTCCTCCGCTTAACGACCACATGCACGCAACTCCTGCCTGTCCCGTGCTCAGCAGGAGCCCCGACGCACAGACCTCGTGACCATTTCCGGCTCTCCTTCGAATGAAGAGGTCGAGTTCGAGGACAAGGGGGTAGGAGAGAAGGTGGAAGTCGCGGTCCTCTTCGACTTGATAGCGAGGTAAGTCTGGCTATTGTAGGCGTTTCTTTGTTGGCAGATAGCGGAATAGAAGCGTTCCAGAAAGCATCCAATAGCATGCGATTACTTGTGCTACGTCCAAAGTCAACGCACACACCCCCGTTCGGCGTTGACCCTGCTCGGTTCGCGCTCGGCGACAAGCTGTGCACAACAGGTTGTGGTGGTCGGACGTGCGCTCATCTCTCCGTCGGTTGAAAGGAGGATATTACTAAGATGTTCGGAATGACACTTGCTAATTGCATAGTACACCGGGCAGGTTTTCGAGACGAGGTTGGCGCACCGCACAGGATTTTTTTTTTTCCTCCTCGAGACAACGAATTTTCGGGCACGCTCCGACGCTGACGTCACATAGCACACTGACATGTCCACGTGGAAAGCTTTTGGCAGAAGTTGGCCTCGCTCGCGGTGCCGCTTTTTCCGCACAGCGATTATCTATTCCATCAATGGCACTGCTGCCGTTCTTCTTTTTCTCTTTCGCGTGCTGCTTGGCGATGGCCTTTCTTCCTATCTATACGACCGTCCGCCTGCCTTCAATAAACCCACCAATACACGCATGTTGCTTGTTTCTGAATGATGTCTGGTGGGTTCTGATCACTCCTCGGTGGCGTCTGAACGTTTCTCAACGGGATCTGAACAACGTCTCCTCGGTAGTTTCTGAACGTTCCTGGGCCGCCCATCGCCCTGGTCGGCACCCCCTCCCGTCCATGCCCCCCCCCTCCTGTCTTGGTTGCGTCGCACCATTCGTAAAAACCGCGTCGCCACAGGGAGATGCCCAAGCGCCAGCTGTTCCGCCATTCGATTGCTTCGATCGATCTGGACGCGTTTCGTGCCCAGCCAGAAAAGAGGTACGTAGGTGCCTGCTTCGTGCGTGCGTGCGTGCGTGCGTGCGTAGCTTCCCCTGCAAACTGTCTGTAGGTTCCGTAAAAGCGCGTGCGGTTGTATGGCCAACACCGGCACTTCGTATACTATTATATACTAGGTCACCCGGTCACCACCATCCCCACCCGAGACATCGTGAGTGGAAAGAAAGGCGGAACTGTCAACACTACGTGCTGGTTCCTGGTCACTGACTCGGAGAACGGGGCAGTAAAATAGTTGCGCCGTGCCCTCCCGCCCGTTGGCGCATCAGGCAATGGCGAGAAACGAATCCTAACAATTGATTGCCTGTCTGCACAATCTGGAACAACATGCCGACAAGGAAGGGGATGGGACTAGCTGAGGAAAATATACAATTTTCCTTGCTTAACAGGAATATGTACAATTTTCCTTGCTCAACAGATGTACGTCAAGGTCGCACGGTGGTGGTGTTGTTCGTATGTTTTTCTTGTGTTTCGTCTGTCGAAGGGATGCATGCGTGGCCAGTGAAAAAAGTAAGTTGGCGGGGCATTAGGTCGATCTCACACCCCCGGTGAAGAGCATAATATTTCTTGTGCTGTTGGACCTGGGCCTATCGTCATTTTCGTGCGATATCCTGTGTACGACGTGCTGTCGTCGTCTGCTGCAGGGACTGCGGGTCGTAGGGAGGTTTGATTCGAAGAGGAAGTCGGGCACAAACGGAGGACGAAACGGCTAATACGGTAGTTAGTATAGTAGTCCCACACGGACGGGTATCACCCGAACGTCCGAAATACACTACCACCCCAGTCGGCCCTTTCTTCTTTTTTCGGACGACTCTGCATGTTGCAGAGAAATTCGGGACCCTTGGCGGGGCCGGCCGTCTCTTGAACGTCGACCTCGGTTGTTGTATGTACTGCAGCATCTCGCGCGCCAAGCAAACACATTTCCCAACTTTGGTTTGCTACTTGCAACTGCAGTAATGCGGCACCACTTAGGTAGGTACGTGTAAAGTTTCGCAAAGGGGAGCACCGCTGCTGCTGCCACCGCCACATGCCGCTGGCTTGACTATTCTCATTCAATCCGTCGAATCCCCGAACATTTCTTTCCCCCCGTCTGTGTTTGTTTTCGTTCCCCTTTCTTCTTCCCCAGGGTGGAGCTTTGGCTTCCCTTGCAGCCCGTAAATTCTGGCAACGACCTTCGCGACTACGGATCGATACAGATCTCGATCATGTACACCGACGACTGCGTGACTCAAGGGTAAGCATGACTGGCGAACAAGCGTATATTGCTTTAGACAAGGAATAGGCGATGGTATCATGAGAGTTTGGACTGATGTCAAGCGGGAGACGCCGATCCACTACCCGCACTGCCACGATGCGAGCTGGCGCGGGTTGAGACGGTAGAGAGGACGGCCAACCGACAAGTAATTTCGTTTGTAGGAGTTAACCGCGCAGGTGGCACAAGTTAGAGAATCAGCCACGAGCCAAAAGCGAGCCGTTTTGATCGCAAGACGGCGACCGCAGCCCCCCTCCTCTCACGCTTCTCCCGTTCTCCACCTGTCCCATTCCGCGGCGCCCCCTCCCACCCCTGACGTCTGACGTGTCTCTAGGTACATGTTCGGGCTTTTTTGCGGGCTGACTCTCCCGCGCTTGAGCATCCATCCATCCTGATGCCCTCTTCTCTATACATATATCTGTATGTCTCTGCCGGCGAGAGAGAGCGAGAGGAGCGACGACCCGTTCGACGCGTGGTGTTTTGGCGCTTCCTCTTAACCTTGGCTTGGCGCTCGCTGACAGCCGCGTCACGTGCTGGGGGGCGTTTTCTATCTTCCGGAGAGATTGAGTTTATGTAGCCCACCGTCGCCGAAGGCGGCGGTAGGGCAGTATAGCGGTGTTCAGAACCAGGATACTTGGCGGCAGCGTTCGGTTGTTGGGTCGCAGTTGTAGCGCTCCCGGGATGAAAACATAGGATGGGAGGGAATTCGTAGATCTCAGCCCTACCCCCTCGCGCGCCCGCCTCTCGTTCGGTCACCCCCCCTCCTCTCCCCGCAACCAACCCTCCCATCTCAGTTGTCTTTGCATCGATACCGCAGAGGTATAGAGATGGGGTGGCATCGGGGGGGGGGAGGGGACACCGACCGCCTGTAATGTTCCCAGTGGTCGTCAGGCTGTTGGCAGTAGCGTGAGCTGTGGCTGGTTGTTCTTGCTGTGGGCGGGTGTTGTCCTTCGTTTGCTGTTGGAGAGCCGAGGGTCGGCGCCGTAGGAACGCGACAAGCCAACGGCCTACTTCAAAAGGCGCGAGGCACACGCCACCCGATGGCGAGGTGACTGCTGTGATGAGCTTTTAAGGGGATTGTTTCGGCCTGTCGTCGGCGTGGCAGCCGTGAAAAAGGCTCCCCGGCGCCTCGTTTGCCTTACCCTGTCTGATGTTTACCATGACATCCAACAGCCTGTAGTTTGCGACTCTTGCCTGTACACAACGACGGGGGGTGCAGGGCGTCCATACTCCCTGCCGGTGGTCTGTTTTGCGAAGTCATTCTGGTTTTGGATGCCTGAGGATACCACTAATTCTAGCCGCAACATGGCGGTAGTATGTGGAAGGCTTTTTACGGTACAAGTTGTGACGCGTGTTTTTTACGTAAGTAGGGTTGATCTTCACCTGCTATGTACGTCAATATATTCACCTTATATGTGTTGGTGGTGTTCTCGTCGAGGGTGGAGGTTGCGGGGGCGCCGACGAATGCGGAGGAGGAGGTGTCTGGGTGGATGGGGGTGCGGAGTATATCTGCTGGCAGCGTGAGAGAACCCTGTTCTGTCCGTGTTGAGTATTTATTATGTGTGCAGTGGTGTGTGGTATTCCATGGGTGTGGATTGCGGCGGGATATTTTCTGGTGTGTGGTCTTGTTCGCGCGCGCGGCTGTGTCCTGTGTGTGGTGCAGTGCAACGTGCGTGTATTTTACATTGGCCTGAGACGACCCGTCCACCGGGTGCTGCTTGGTGTTGGCCCGGTTTAGCGTGTGGGCGTGCGTGTCGTTGCGCTCAAGTTCTACCTACAGTCGCCGTCGACCTCTCATGTGTGGTGGCAGTGGCACAGCTCTAATCGAACACACGATCGTTGGTCAACCTTTTTTGCTGGTGGTCCTTCAAGGACTCCCGTTTAGCTGTTTTTTCATGCGTAGAAGCAAGAAACAGAAACTCTTTGCTGCGTTATTTCGTTGAATCACCCGTGTGCTCACACAGGAAAACCGCCGTGACATAAGAAGCGTTGTTTTGGGTTTGAGCCAATTTTGTTGTATTGCGTTGGGCTTTTGGGGGGGCATGTGCATCCTCGGCTCTTGCTTATCTGGTGCTTCATCATTATCTGCTGCCGTTGCTGCTGGGCTTGCACGCAACCCTTTTGGGAGGGGGGGGGGGGGGTGTTGTGTTGGAAAAGATGCGGGCATTGGCCGGAGAGAGCGTTTTCGTGACGGTGTCTGCTTTTGTACCGTGTGTTTTCTTCAGTATTCCCCGCAGATGAAGTGGCCACGATTTGAAGGGATCCGCCCAACCAACACGAAGACTAGTAGTCGGGATGTTTGACTGTGTTTCGGCATCAAACTCCCCATGTTTTTGCTCCGTAAGGTCGATCGTGGTTTTGAGCCACAAAAGTTACGAAAACAGTTCGGTAGACAGCTGGGTGCAGTGTAGTACGTGTTGTGTAAAATCCGCATTTGTTTGTGTGTGGCAGTTTTTGTTTTGAGCCTTGTCTTTTCTTGTCCAATTGGCTTCTTTCTGTTCGCTGGTCTGAGGGCGGAAGAAAGTTGAAACCAGGCGTGCATCGGTCTGAGACGTAAGGTCACTGTTGTTATCTATCTGACCGCACCCCCGTTACAGGTAGACAAGAACAACCCACAAGAACACGCGATCGATGTACAATAGAAGGTACGAAAAGTAAGGCCTTTTAGTGAAGGCGGGGCAATCAACTAAAGGGTAAAACGAGGACCCAAAACAGCAGCTGGAGTAGCGGAGTACTACCGGCTTGGGGTGATCTGCATCTTCCTCTCGTTATTGATGAGCTCGCGCAACCGCAGAGGGAGTAGATCCAACGGTTATTTCAGTTCGACTCCTCCGCCGCTCTCTGCTGCGCGATGGCCGCCACGCGCTCCACCCGTTTTTCTCTAGCCAGTCGTCTTGCCCTTGCTTGCAGGACCACATCATCCTCTGGACTGTACGTCGTCCCTGCCAGAACAGAGACCGAGGCCGAGGCCGAAAACAAACAACAAGCAAACAAGTAACAACAAAATAATATCATGAGAGGAGACGAGGAAGGGCGCGCGAGATCGATCGGTGCACCTAGAGTAAACGTTTCGTCGGCAGCGCGCTCTATCGCAGAGGTTGGCTTTGTGCAGACGGATGTCGTATGCCGGTCGCCCTCTTCGTCCGCGGGATCTTACGTTTTCGATGTACGAGCATGCTCGCTAACGTAGAAGTCTTTAAGCCATGACAATGTGCTCGCTCACGGAGAAGTCTTTTAGCAATGTCAATGCACGCAGCAAGCTGAGCACGTCGTGACGGGAGAAGTACGGCCTCTTCCGACGACTTCGTACTGTGTGTGGTGACTACATGTTGGTGACAAGCTTCTTGGCAAAAGAACCTCTAGACCACTGCTGTCTGGGCACATCTCTCTCTGTTCCCATTCTGTCGCATACAGCAAGACAGGGCTACTCTCACCTGGAATTGGGCTATCCAGTTTTACTGTGCTGGATATTCAGGCCCCACACGTCATCGACAGGAGCAACTTAGCCCGCAGTACAAAACAACAGCCGGAAATCGTAAGCTACAACCAATTAGTATTTATCCCGAACACGCACGCGGGCTCCTACCGCCACACTACGTTCGTGGTCAGCTCAAGCTCCGCCCATGGCACGCGATCTATCGCAACCCCCGACATCTGGTGAGTGGCAGCAGAAAGTCAAGCTGTGCTTTCCCAGCCGAGTTTCACCCCCTTTGTGCACACACACGCTGGTGGGGAGCTGAAGCCATCCCGCGTCGCTCACTGCGTTCGTTCGCATCGCAACCCAGCCGAAAACCAAACCGTGAGAACAAACGGAACACCGCCGGAGCAACGCCGTGTGCGTGCCTTACCTGCTGCGAGTGGCTGAAGACGTCCTCGGACCACGAGCTTCGACAGCCTCGAGCAGGAGACGTAGCTTTTAAAACAAGGAAGGAGCGGAGCAGCAGGACGCGTCGTTAAAGGGTATTGATTGGTTCGAAGGGAGTTCGAGGTCGGACGTGATGGAGACGAGCACCGACGAGGAAAGGGTGTTGAGTGTGGGTGACGCGATTTTTTTTTTTCGTAGGCGCGGCGGGAAACGATGGTAGTACTGTACGGAATGGTCAACCGGGGGGCGCGCGCGTGTGTGTCTGATTTCTTGGCCGTCGTGCATGTGAACGACCTTGAAGATGTTTTGTTGTGGATATCTTCAAGATCAAGATGTAGCTCGGAAGCATGGACAAAAAGCACACGGATAAATGGGGGGGGGGGCGAGGAGGTCACTCCATCAGCACTGGAAGAGACAGTTGAGTTAGCACAACATGGAGCGAACACCAAACTGGCACTGAAGGAAATAAAACGCCATGATTGACAATATACCTTGGAAGGATTTTCTATCTAGACTCAATACACAACACACGAAGTAAACAGAACCCAGGCCTTCAAGATGCATCCCAACACTTTCTACTGCCTCACGGTTCGAACAGTCAGATATCTGTCCAAGACACTCACCCCGTTCCCGTCGGATCAGTCTCCTGCAGCAGCTCGTCCATCTCGTTGGGCAGCAGCGGCTGGCCGACGCGGCACAGGACCGCCCTCAGCTTCTCGGCGCTAATGAGCTCCCCCCGGCCGTCCCCCTTGATGGCCTGCAGGGCCCGGTACACGTCCGACCGGCGGCCCGTCGCCACGTACGAGCTGGTCTCGACCAGGATTTCGCCGCCTGACCCGTGGGCCATGGCCGGCGGGACGGCCGACGCGGTACCGGCGCTCTCGCGCAGCCACTCCCAAATCTGCCTCCTCGCCTCGCTGTCGGGCATGCTGCCGAGAGCTCTCTCGCCCTCCTCTCGTCGCCGCCTTGCGCCCGGCCTCTCGCTCTGCTCCTCGCGCGCGGAGTGGCGTCCGCCGTGCCGCTGCCTGGTGCCGACGACTCGAACGCCACCGTCACCACGACACCCGTTGTTGCTGCTACCACCCCTCATCTCCGTCCCACCGCCCGGGGTGGTAGTCGCTGGCCGCCGCCGCCGCCGCCGCTGTCCTGCTCCTGTTGCCGAGCTCGCGACCCGACTACCCGGTGTTCCCGGGCCGCGGCCCTCGTCGATACCACCCGGCACGGGGCAGGACGCGGGCCGCGCGGCCCCTCTCCAGCGCTTCAATCCGCCACCGCCGCTGCTGCTGACGAGCACGGCAGAGCTCCTCCCCATCCTGTAGTCCTTGAAGTGGACACCGCTCGCCCCTCCCGCTTGACGACATTCTCTGGCGGCACCACCGCCGCCGCGGCCGTGAGCACCATCGTGGTCGTTCCGCGAACATCGGGCGCCGTGCCCGGCGGCCAGGCGATGGCGTGCCCCCCCGAGGGCCGTCTCGTGGTCGCCACGGGGGAGCGCCGGCGTGGTGACGCCTCCTCTTCCTCCTCCGCTGCTGCTGCGGCATCGCCCTTCGCCGAAGGACGGCGCGGCGGAGGAGAGGGAGGCGGAGGACACGTATGGGAGCCGCGACTTCGCGATCTCGTAACGCTTCTTCGCCCTCCGGTTTCTCCGCGAGGGCGAGAAGGTCACCCCCCTTGCGGTCGTCGTCTTGGGGGCGGTGGTGCGAGCGGCGGCGGCGGCAGCAGCAGCAGCAGCAGCAGCAGCAGCCGCGCCGGCGTCGTCCTCCTGCTTCTTGCCCGTCACCTCCTCCTTAACGCTAGGGAGGTTCGCCGGAACGATGAAGATGGTTCCCCCGGCGATCTGGTACTTGCTCGAGTCCAGGATGGGCAAGAGGAGGCTCCGGAATTTGGGAAAGCCGCCTGTGAGGCGGGACCCTAGGTCGAGCGGGGTCTCCCCGAGGTGGTTGACCGCTCTCGCGTCCGCGCCGTGGGACATTAGGAACACTACCACCCGCAGCGCCTCCTGGACGTGGATCTAGATATTCGTACAGGTCGGGCGCGGGAAAGATGGGGGTAGGGACAGAGGCGTCATCGCGCGCGAGTTCTTTGATGACTGGAAGGGCAACCAGCAGCAGCTGTGACGAGAGTTCGGTTCAACGAACAGGGCGAAAAGAGAGAACTCAAAAACCACGCTCTTCTTGTAGACGAAGCCGGAGAGAGAAACCGCCCCTCCCGAGCGTTCCGGAACGCAAGAGGTACGGGTGGGTCGTGTTGAAAAGCACAATGACCACTAGACTTCTAGTCAGCGCTGACTACTGGTCTAGTTAGTGGTCATTGTGCTTTTCAACAGAAGTGAATGCCCGTGTCCGGTCAAGCTGTTAGCCAAGAACACCCAGGGTTGCCACCCCTGGAATCAGCGCTGTGCTTGCCAGATCGATACAAGCAGGTCATCGGCTCATTTTGCGAAGGCAGTTTCCTTAGGCTTTTTTATTCCCATATGTCGGGCGCAGAGAATTCGATGCTGCTGGGGAGATTCGAACCCCGGACATTAGCTTCTGTTGAAAAGCACAATGAACACTAGACTACAAGTCAGCCGCTGACTAGTAGTCTAGTGGTCATTGTGCTTTCCAACAGGTCGCACCTTGGACTGGTCAACGCCTGTCGTGTCCCCCCCCCGCGCAACGACCGCCGCGCACTCGGCGGCATGCTTCACGGCGTAGTGCAGGGCCACGCACCCGTACGCGTTGGTGCGGTTGACGTCGACGCCCCTCGATATTAACTCCTTCACGCGGAGTATGTCGCCGGTCTGGCTCGCACGAAAGATGCTGGCGCCTGCCAGGTAGCCCTCTTGCGACATGGCCTACGATGTCCGACGACAGTAGCAGGCATGGGGATGATGCACGTTGAGGGACAGAGCAGGTGCTTCGGAAAGTTGGTGATCGATATTTTTTCCAGGAATACGCACATTGTACACCACGGAGGAAATAGAATGGCCCACCCAGGTTACGTTAATGAAAACAAGGTAATGGTACCGAAGTTCATGCCGGAGGGACGTACGTGAGCACGTCGAGTGTCACGGTGTGAATGTTGTCGCGACTGCTCACGTTCGAGTATCCCATCCAACAAACAACCTATTCCTCTAGCAGTCGCTTATATGTTCCTGTCGCGCGATTCGAACACACCCTGTGTGCCCCCCGGACTACCATTCGGTACTGCATGTGTCGTGTGCCGACTTACGCGCCTCCCAAACCTTAGGCAGCAAGTGACCTGCCGTACCACAAGTTGATCCAGTATTATACGAACCCGTGATAGAGGGAGGAAGTGCGTGGTCACTCGCACCTGCTCGAGGAGGTTTGTCCACCTTTCCAACGCCAGGCTGTCCTTCGTGGCCAGCGTCACGCAGCGCAAGGTTCCCCCGACCGCTGCCGTGCCGCTTACCATCAGAATCGCTTCCCTCCCGAGTCTCCTGCACAAGGCCTCCTTTCCTGTTTGTCGACGATCGAAGCAGTGACGAGACGCAAGGTGGGACGACAGTTAGCCTTGTGTACAAACTGAGCGAGTCACTTGCATACGCACACGATTCATGAGTTAAGCAAGAGCGTCTAGAACTTGTTTGAAACCAAGTTTACGGGAAAAGCAAGGGTGAACGACGACTACATGCTGCTGTAGAAGGCAATCGATCGATCGCATCGAGGGGAGCACACCATTTTCGGGGGACGCAGAAAAAATGACGGCGTCGAGCAAGGTCAGGTAGGGAATTCAAAACTGCTGGCGGCTACAGAAACTTTTTCCTTGTGCCCTAAGAAAGAGGCCAGGCCGCAGCCAGATCGTTGTCTGCATGGCTGGTGTACGGCGATCTGCTACTTCAGCGTAGTTGCGATGTTCACGACAATCTGCTTCTTTCGCGTGGTTGCTCCATGTTTTCCTACCGCGGCGCGCATGGTCTCACCAGGGTCGATTCTTGTCTGCTGCACACTCAGCGGGAGAGAGAAAAGGCAGGGAGTGTCGGGCTCGGGCCTGGTCGCCGACTCGAACACCTGCAGCTCTCCTGGCAGCACCCGTATCCAACGCGGCTTCCACACCGTCGCAAAACCCTGCGCGCCTCTCTGGAGCTTGTCGAGAACCCCCTCCGCCACGAGATCCTGAGGCCCGGCGGCATCACCTGGGACAGCGGTGCCGTCCTTGGCGGCATGATTGGCGACGGGTAGTCGGCTGACGACCTGCTTGAAGTGGTGGAGTTCATCGGGGGGCACGCCGGCCTTTTCGAGGGAGGCGACGATGAAGTCGATGCGGGCGACCACGTCGATGGCGTCCTCCGTGTTAACGGAGATTCCATCATCTATGCATTGCGTTCGTAAACGTCATTTGCCGGTCGTTTTGACGAACGAGAATTGAGGGGGGTGTTAGATTTTTGGAAAGGGTAGCCTAAGTGGTTGGTGTATGGATACGGAGTGACTGTGTTGCACGTTCTGTGTTTCTTGTGTAGCGGTGTGTGTGCATGGCGAAGGGCGTTCGAGTCGTTTGTGTATGCTGGAGAGAGCAGAGAAGACCAACCACTTGGTGTAGACGGTACATGGCTTTGTCTGACAGTACAAGTCGTCCACTACTGCTGTACAGCAGTCTTAACATGACGAAACAGTTCAAATGGAGTGGAAAATATGGGAACAGGTGCGTAGTCACCAGCAGCGCTGTTGTGTATGACAGAACAAATGAATAGAAAATGACTAGATGACACACATGTGCACCAGGAGACATGATCCATTCACTAGCCGGACGTACTGTAGAGCTCTTCGTCCATGTTGACAAAAGGTGCAAGCATCGTTGTTGCTCAATCTTGCAGCGGCTGCTCATGTACCTTTTGCATGTACTCGGAGTTGACCTGCAGAATTTTTCAGCTCTAGCCACGAGACAACTTGCCTGTAGATGAACCCATGGTACCTAACAGGCAAGGGAGGATCCACCTACTCCTCTCTTCCCGTCCCGGGCGTGTATCGTGTATGCATGTTGTGTGTCCCAGCGGGCCCGCTGTCCCGCTCTACGCATGCTATGGAAGAGGCTAAATGAGTATCGTTTCGGGGATTTCAGCGGCGCAATTTGGCTCATTTCGAGGATCTCGCGGCGTTTTGGTTCACTCGGCTGGCGCCCGCCGGTGAGAGCCGCAGAGCCGCAGAGCCGCAGAGCCGCAGAGCAGAGAGCGCCCGCCGGTGAGAGCCGCAGAGCCGCAGAGCCGCAGAGCCGCAGAGCAGAGAGCAGCCTTTGGGAGCCTTTGTGGCACTGCTTGTCGATCTTGCTTGTGTGTGCATTCCAGCGAGGATGAGGAAGGATGCGAGCGTCCTACGGCTGGTGCAACTTCTCGTGCTTCTGTTGGCGATTCAACTGGATGCTTTCGCGCTGACTCCTGCTGGACGCAGTGCGCATGGCGGGGGTCAACCGTCGAACCAGGCGACAAGCTTGAACGGACCAGGGAAGCTGGCCGGTGTGGGATCGTCCTTGCGCTCGGCCCAAGGGCTCTCTCCCGAGTCGCGCGCCAAGGTTCCGTTGACGGTGCAACGCATGTCCGGTGGTGGCGAGGGCGGCCAGGTGCGTTGGTAATCTGGCGTCAATTGTTGGAAATTGTATTTGTTTCTGATTGTTCATGGATGCTAAACTATGTAAGCGACCTTGCTGCTGGTAGCTTTGTCCGTCTGGCTCTCTTTTATAGAGAGACGTTTTCTTCAGACACTCACTAGGGTTGCGCTGCGGCGTGAGCCCGTCACCAACTTTGCAGGAAGATCGACTTTGTAAGGCACCAACAGCTCGTTGTGATTTTGGCATTAAGCCGACGTACATGCGAAGATCATGATCGGTCTGTAAGCAACACACCAAGAAATCATTACCCCGGTCGCCCGGNATTGTCGCGTATCCTCAGCAGTACCCTCCTTCGGTCTCTCCCTGTGTCTACTTCCCGGTTGGTTCTGGACATGGTGCTGTTGTCTGCTGTTTCTGCGCTGCTGTGCTGTGTGTGTGTGGCGTACAGGGGCTCCGTACTGCTGCGCATACCCTAAATTTGATTCACGGAGCCCCTAAGAAAACATCGGTCGGAACATCGGCACGAATTTTCGATACCGATATCGATATATATCGGACGATATATATCGTGTACATCGTTCCGATTCACAACTCTACCGGGTTGTCTAGTGGGTAACCTCGCAGGCTGACAAGGGTCTCGTCATGGGTTCGAGTCCCGCCAGAGTGAGCTTTATCACACCATTTAAAGTCTGGTCTCCGTTGGAAGCGACGCGCTGCAAAGCTCGTTTTTAGTAAACTTGATCTACTCCATCAGTCGCGAGGGAAGGGATTGCTGTACCCTTCTCGCGATAAAAATATCTCAGGCAGGAACCGCAGGAGGGGGTCCAACCCCCCGCCTCCTATGTGACCCCGGTTGGGTCCTTTAGCTAGTAGCAGTGGAGGGGGCAGAGGGGCAGACGACAGGGAGAAAAAAAAAGTGTGCACACCAATAACCACCGTTGATACCAGACGAGATTCCCCACCTACCGTACTGTATTATCTTAAAGAGGGTACAGTTAGCGCTACTACTGAAGCATCTAAGAACTTGGCAGTCAGGACATCAATATAGCCTCGATAAACTCAAAACCTAAGAACTTGAGCACCGTTTGTGAGCTCGGTTGATAACCCCGACACTAACGCATGCCCTCCCTGTACATATCGGTCATTCGTAGATAGCATGACCCTATCATAGGAGCCATGTACCATCTCTAAGAACCCCACCCAGGCCAAGCTATGCATAGAGGTTTCAAAGTGCGGGGGGCCTACTGTAGTAGCCACAGCGCAGAACGTCTATTGCCATTCCAGGACAATCAGCACGCAGAAAACAGTGGACACCCGAAATGCGATGGTCTGTGGAGAGAAGACGTGCATCACGCACACAATGCCACCACGGCGCGAACTCACACCCTTAACGCGTTTACGGCCGCAGTTCGCTTCGATAGACAGACGGGCGGTTCTTTCCAGAATAGTCAGCACGGACGCACGCATTTACTCCTTGCCCCGAGAGAACCACCAAGTTTTGCAATCTGTATTGACACCTCGACCGAAAACATCGTAAACAGGCCGCCAGCGAAGAGGGAGACAAGTCAGGCATGTCGGCGTCCGTCTTCAACCTGGCCAAGAACATCTTGGGCGCTGGAATGCTCTCCTTGCCGAACGGGGTAGCTGCGTTTTCGGATTCCAAGTACGTACCGTGATGTCAGCACACGACTTGTTTCGTCGCTTCGAGGAAGTTTTTCCGCCAGCATTTTCGTGGGTGGGAGCGTCGAATTGAGCGAGAAAGCTCCATAGGCCAAATCATCTCCAATAAGGGCATTGGATTCAGCCTCCACTAGTAAACTTGTAGCTTTGAGGGCGGCGTCTGGATAGAAATCATCGTCGGAGTATGTAGGCGAACTTGCATCGCGCCGGGATTTTGTGGCATTGCAGAGCAGCATGCCTCCACCCTTGTTCCGTGCATGCGTACTTTTCGAGGAGATAAAAACCGTCCCGGAAATTTGCTCCGTCAATGCAGCCCTCGCGACCGGAGTGTTGCAGTAACGCGCCATTTGAGAAACCTGTCGACAAGACCAGCAATGCAGCCGTCGAGACCGGAGTGTTCCGGTAGCGCACCATTGTAGAAACCCCATCGACAAGGCCAGACAGCGCTTAGGCGGCACTCGCCCAGAGAACGCACTAAAACTATAGCACGTTTCCCAGGGTTCAAACTCCAAAGCCGTCTTCCTTGCACCCCCATCTCTATTTTTGCGCGATCGATCTAGCCTCGCCGCACTCTCCAATCTAAGCCCTCCTTACAAAGAGTGTACGCATATATCAAAACACGATTGGTTGCGTGTTCACGCTCATACCTTTCTCTCGGGGCCCGGAAAAAAAAATGTTCAGGAAGGCCATCATCCCCGCCTCCTTGATCATCGCCGTGCTCGGCGCCGTGTCCGCCTACACCTTCGTGCTCATCGGCCGCTCCTGCGCCGAGACCAACGCCGAGTCCTACGAGCAGTCCTGGGCGCGCACCGTGGGGCAGAGGTCCGCCTGGGTGCCGGCCGGCGCATGCGTGGCCACGTGCTTCGCCGGGTGCCTTGCCTTCACGATCATCATCGGGGACAGCTTCTCGGCGTTGGCCAAGACCTTCGGCGCGCCTGCGCTCGTTGCCAAGCGATCGAACATCATCATGGCGGTCTCGGCCACGGTGCTCTTGCCCCTGTCTCTCCTGAAAAGTGAGCGAATATTGTCGGTCTGTACGCACGGCCCGGCGTTCGGTTTTGCGTTAGGCTGGCTGGCCGCAGAAACAACATCGACGTTTGGGGAAATAATACACAAGGCTGCCCGTTCGAGATATAACCACAGTCGAAAGGGATATGCCTGAAGGCTTTTCGATGAGTGTCGTTTTCGGCTTACACGATTTGTTCGAGCGTGATGAAGGAAGTGGGAGAGATGTTTTTCCGGCTGCGTTGATGATGATTTTGGTATTAACCGAAGTATGCCAGGAGTGCGCGCATGTGTCTGCCCCCGCAGGAGGCGGACGTCTTCTCCTCTCCGCACCATCTGCGATTGGCACCAGCCCCACCCGCGCTCGTGTGGTGGTGTTCGCTGTTTGCTGCCACCCCACACATGCCGCCCGTCCTTCTAGTCATGCTTTACAGCTCCTTTTCCCTTTTTAATTACATTTTTATATTTTGTTTTTAGCGCGTTGTTGTTGTTGTCTTGGTTAGTGGTACCTGTGTGATTGCTTTGGTTTTTATTTTACTTGATTGCATCTTTACTGCTGCTGTCGCGCTGGCAGACCTGAAGTCCCTTGGGTTCACGAGCATGCTGGGGACCTCGGGCCTTGTCTACACGGCCGTGATGATGGCGATCCGCTTCTTCGACGGCTCTTACGCCGCCGGGGGGAAGTTTCACGCCCTCTTGCCCGCGGCTGGGGCCCCCGTGTTTGACGCCAAGGGCACCAACCCCATCTGTTTCCTGGTGAGGGCTTACAGCAGAGGGTAGTGTTTCGGAGAAACCAGACAGCGCAGTTGAGCTGCTCGTACTGAGATAGTGCGGAAAATTGCGATGGGTCATGTTTGGAATGTTTTGGGAGTACTGCTGTAGTATCCGAAGCTATTTTCGTCACACGAAGGGGGAAACAACGCATCTGTTCACGGGTTCTTGGCGTACTCCTGCCAAGCAGAGGGTCGCGTGGTGATTTTTTCAGCTTCCAACGCGAATGCTTGATTTTTTCGTGTACCTCTGCCGTTTGGAGTGACCGTAACTCCTCGGCGAAACAGACCGACCCGTGAGATAAACATTTTCCGTAGTTGCTTGCTTTGTCGATAACTTCCTAGTGGTGTGGTGCGTGCTTGCGGTTTCACGATACTTGATGCGCCCACACGGACATGTGTACCGCCAGTCTGGTTGCGTGCCGAACCGAGGACAAAACACTCCTTCCTGATCGAAAAACGTTGCCTAATCTCGACCCACATGTCTCCTCTGTTGTCACTCAGCCCTCAGCGAATCTATTTGGCCCTAACGTATACGAAAGCTCCGCCGACTTGCACCCCCCCCCCCCCCCCCCCCCCCCCCCCCCCCCCCCCCCCCCCCCCCCCCCCCCCCCCCCCCCCCCCCCCCCCCCCCCCCCCCCCCCCCCCCCCCCCCCCCCCCCCCCCCCCCCCCCCCCCCCCCCCCCCCCCCCCCCCCCCCCCCCCCCCCCCCCCCCCCCCCCCCCCCCCCCCCCCCCCCCCCCCCCCCCCCCCCCCCCCCCCCCCCCCCCCCCCCCCCCCCCCCCCCCCCCCCCCCCCCCCCCCCCCCCCCCCCCCCCCCCCCCCCCCCCCCCCCCCCCCCCCCCCCCCCCCCCCCCCCCCCCCCCCCCCCCCCCCCCCCCCCCCCCCCCCCCCCCCCCCCCCCCCCCCCCCCCCCCCCCCCCCCCCCCCCCCCCCCCCGGCCCGCTTGTCCGCCAACAACAGGTGCTCGTGTCGATGCTGTCCACGGCGTACGAGGCGCACTTTAACGCGCCGCTCTTCTACCGCGAGCTCAAGGACAACACGGTCCCGCGGTACAGCAAGATGGTCTCGACCTCGTTCCTTGCGAGCGTGGCCACCATGACGGCGGTACGCGTTTGTTTTGCTGTAATAACCAGTATCTGTATGGGGAGCTTGAGGTAGACGCGCTGGTGCTAGACATATCACCCAAGCACGTACCACGTACTATTGTTGAATTGTTCTTGTACGGGCCATGCGAGGTCGGTGGAAGGAGTACATATTTGGAAAAAGCGAAGGCCGATGTTCAACCAGGCGAAACGCAAAAAAAAAATCCCGGAATCCTCCTCCATTCAAGCGTCGGTTGTTGTAGATCTACGGAGACCCATCCCCGTAAAATTCAATAGTTCGTGCTCGTTGGTGTTCATGTGTCCAGGTGTGCGTGTTGTTTATTACTGAAGTATATATTTTTCATTTGTCTTGATGGCTGTAATCTTATGAACCGCCTCCGCGAGAAATGAATTAAATTTGTGAGGAAATAGAACAGGGAGGGGGTACGCAGACTCTATCCCTAAACCCGACTTCCCCGATTGCATGCTTTATCCGACATGTTTTGCTTGATTATAGAGATGAACAACCCGCTGCGAAGCTACGCTGATTTTTTTTTTTCGCTCCCCGCCTGGTCCGGTGAGAACCCGGCGTGCTCCGTCCCGGCTTTGTAGGGATGCGAGGTCAATGGTCTAACGACTACGGCATGCACGACCATGAGTACCCCCCCCCCTCGGTGTTTGCCATCAGGATTGGGTTTTCGTCGCCTGGCAACGACGTTGTAAAACAAGCCAATTCACTTCGTGAACTCGGCAACCAGGTTACCGTTTGTTTTTTTTTACCTCTGTTTTATTTTTGGCGGTAGCCATCATGGTGGTACAGCAGTAGATCATGTTATGTGGGGTCGAGAACCCTCACTCCGCGCA